AAAAAAAAAAAAAAAAAAAAAAAAAAAGTCTTCTGTGAAGTGAAACATGAAACTCCCTTTCCTGTCCAACTTATGAACAAGCTGTTTTCTTCACTTGATACTAACCCAGCCTTGGCTAGCAGGAACAATCTCAGTGACACGTAGCCTGGAGGGCTTTTCATTGTTCTTAGGATTTGTCTGTTAGTAGCAACTGGGTTAATTTTGAGACCATAATATAACAAAGTAGTCCATGTTTTTAAAAATACTTGGGTAAAATTGCATTTGTATAGATGCTTAAAGTTTAAGTCATTGACACACAAGTATCTGCCTTTTATAACAATGAAAACTAAATATATTTTTTTCTGAGAACTTTATGAGAAAACTGAATTTCTTAAGAGTATAATAGACTGGGCCCTGCGGCTCATGCCTGTAATCCCAGCACGTTGGGAGGCCAAGATGGGCAGATTGTTTGAGCTCAGGAGTTCCAGACCAGCCTGGGGAACATGGTGAAACCCTATCTCTACAAAAAATACAAAAATTAGCTGGGCATGGTGGTGTGTGCCTGTAGTCCCAGCTATTTGGGAGGCTGAGGTGGGAGGATCACCTGAGCCCAGGTGATCATGCCACTGTTCTCCAGCTTGGGTGACAAAGCAAGATCCTGTCTCAAAAAAAAAAAGGTATAGTATGTTTTTGGTGCCAGGATGCTGAAAGAGTTTCACCCCTTATGAAAGCAATTTAAAGATTCCGTAGTTGCTTTTGTAATTCCTCAATAAGAATTTTTAGAAGTCTTTTTAGAGTTAAGAGACTGCCTTGCTCCTAGGCATCAATTTCTGTGTGCAGAAGCCCACAGCACACTCCTTTTCTAACTATTGATTCTGTCCTTAATAGGCATTCCATGAGGAATACTCCAGGCTCTATCAGCTTGCCAAAGAGACCCCCACCTCTCACAGTGATCCTCGACTTCAACATGTCCTTGTCTACTTCTTCCAAAATGAGGCACCCAAAAGGGTAGTAGAACGAACTCTTCTGGAACAGTTTGCAGATAAAAATCTTAGCTATGATGAAAGGTGAGAAGAGAACGTTCAGGTGAATCACTCCTTTGTCTGGGTCAGGCTAGACCAACTCCTCTGTTGGGAAAGTTTTGCCCTGTACCCTTTCATTGCTTTCTGAACTTTGTCCCACACAGATCAATCAGCATTATGAAGGTGGCTCAAGCGAAACTGAAGGAAATTGGTCCAGATGACATGAATATGGAAGAGTACAAGGTGAAGTCTTTTCTTTAAGTCTGTAGAACAAAAACATTAATTCCTGAGGTAAATGGTACCTGAGGCAAAATTAACAATGGCAGACTGACTTGTTCTCCCACTTTCCCCCAAAAAAACCTGGTAAAGAATGGATAAATGATATTTTCTTGTCCTCAGAATAGTAGGTCTCCTTATTTTCATTCTTCTTTTAGGGTGAATCAACACTTTACTTCCCTTAAATACCTATTTTAGCCTTGTCCTAATCAGTAAAATTCTTGTAATCGTGCTTTTGGTTTGTTTTAAGTGATACAGTTTTTAAAATATGCATTTAAAGTATATACATAGTTGTACATTTTTTTAATTGCTTTCTATGTAAAACAATGTTGTGTACCACCCAAGGTGTATCAGCCACGCTTCCTGAATTTGAACGTTGCTCTGTATGACTAGAAATGGCCATGTCTTTCCATCATTTTCCGTATCTGGATGGCTTTACCAGCGCTGAAGAAGTCCTTCGCTTAAGCTAGAGCTGAATGTCTTTGACATAGCCACAGGAAATTAAGATAAATTCCAAAGCTTGTAGGAAATAAATACTTCTGTTACTCAAGTGAAAGGAACAGAACATGGAAAATTAAGATCAGTGGTATACTTTTATTTTAAATGTTGAGTAGGTTTTTATCTGAAAGCTTTAGTGTGTGTTATTTTTGTGGCTACACGGATGTGCTCAGTAAATGTTTGTAATGAATTTAAAACTTAGGTGGAAAGGGCACTAAAAATTTATGATCATAATTATTAATAGTAGCCATTCTTTTTCAGAAGTGGCATGAAGATTATAGTTTGTTCCGAAAAGTATCTGTGTACCTCCTAACAGGCCTGGAACTCTATCAAAAAGGAAAGTATGTTGATCTTTTATTTTACTAAGATTGTTAGTCAGGATGCTGTTCTCTGTAGATGCCCACCTGGGAATATTGAGAGCCACAGCCATGCGTAACCTCTCTTGTCATATACACTAGTGTGTGTGCCTCTTCCAGTGCTTCAGTTTTGCTCTAAACATCACACACAGCTTTTTATCCTTCACATAATGAGATGGATCAGCCAAGAGATATATTGTGCCAGACTGTCTTTGTGGTCAATGAAGATGCTCAGAAAATGAATTTTTGAGTTGACATGGACCCTAGTGAGCATTCTTTGTTTTAGAGATGGGAAAAACGGAGGCTAGGGAAGTTTCATGATTTGTTTTGGGTGGACTGGCCAATTTGTAGAAGAGCTGGCCCTTGACTTTTTGTTTTTGGCCCTTGACTTTTTCTTAATTGTAGCCAAGTAGGTTCTTGAAATGGGGAAAAGTGAGGTCTAACCCCTAGATTTCAGTAAAAGAGCATTCAGCTGTTGTTTATCTCCCATTTTCTAAGGTACCAAGAGGCACTTTCCTACCTGGTATATGCCTACCAGAGCAATGCTGCCCTGCTGATGAAGGGGCCTCGCCGGGGGGTCAAGGAGTCCGTGATTGCTTTATACCGAAGGAAATGCCTTCTGGTTTGTACTGATTGTAAAGTCTTAAGGTTTTTTTTGTTTACCTCTGCTCCTTGAAAAGACATGACTTTCAAAACAAAATATCTCCGGCAGGTTTTAGATTTTTTCCCCCCTAATTCTCATGAACAGTTTTACATTGGAACAGGTTTTTTTTTTTTTTTTTTTT